CTATTCTATGTTTTCCATTTTACATATTTCATATTTTGCATTTTGCCTTTAAACTTGAATATTGAAAAGAATGACATTTTCAATATTTTATTTAGAGAAATTTGATCAGCATGATTTACAGAAAATCAAAACACGTTCGTTCGTAATAATCAAGGTTAAAAATGAACGTAGATGAATTGAGCCGGCAATCTGGGTACTTTAATGTCTGTTACTGATTTCTACTTAATAAACCAGATTTTAACCAAATACAACTGATAGCACTATTAGATGGAAGCAAAAACATAGTTTTCAATTCAACTAAAAGTAAGAAAACCTAAAAGAGAAAATATAATCAATATTTTAGTGCGCTCTGTGAGTAATTGATAAAACTATGTTGAATTTTCACAAACAATCTGTGGCATTCATTACATTTTAATATGACGTGTTCTTTACTCTCTAAAAGACAATGGTAATATAAACTGACAATTTTCTTACTCACGTATGAGAAAAAACCGTTTCCAACTAAAGTTTCACATTATTTCAGCCAAAATAGTATTTTCAACTAATGTACGATTTTAGAATTTAATCTTTGATCAAAATTAGTTGTTTTAGTCTTAGGATCAACAAGCGTCTTGAAAGTGACATGAATTTGCATTACTTCTGTAACTAGTATTATGTGGATAGGTAACATTTGTAAAGGATAAGGTTGGACACTTTGCCTTTTAAATAAATATTAAATTACCTTTCTTTTGTTTTATGGAAACGTTCAAAAATCCTCAGAAGAAGGAAATTAAGGACTTGAAGTTGGAGTTCGCTCGATGTTCTTTCGGCAAAGAACTTATTGAACTGTCATCCCTTCTCAAAGAGAATAAAACTAAATATTTTCCTATGAAACATTTATTAACTTTCTTAACTTCCCGAACCACCATTATAGTACTGAAACAAGTAAAATATACTTAATACATATTATTATAAACATTCGACAAAACGTGTATTTTACTTTTACAGAAGAAGATGTCATAAGGTTTCTTAATATTTGTTCTGATTCTGATAATGAAAATATTGGTTTAGTCTTAAAAACAATGACAATAGATTCACTTAAGCTAGTTTTATATTTGGATATAGCTATAGTTATTTCTTTAAAAACTCGTGTTACCAATCCAAAACCAATTTTTAAAATAATAGTAGTGTAAGGTATAAATCATTTAAAGTGTAAAGTTTGATACTTTATTTTAGTTTGAATACCCGTTATATTTCATCTAAAGTGTATCGTCAGTGTCTTACACTTAATAAAACTGTACTTATAACTGAATTTTTACTATATCTAACACCTTTGTTAAAGGTTAAACTACTTTACCTACTCACTTGTTCTTAGATCTAATCTAGACATGTGATTATAGTCTATAGTTTAGTTTTTAATGGTAAGTATTGTTAGACATATTTTTAGATTGGTACGTGAAGAAGCAATGAGAGCAAATTCGTATGTTAACGTATAGTTCGTAATCGTATTTTATATACTCATCTATCAGTTTTTGTTGGCAATTCATTGTACTATACAATATTTGTGGCCATGCTAATGAAAGTTCTTTGCACTTACATAAACAAGAGTTTCTACCTCGAACATTTTGTTTAAGCCATTGACGTCACAGGTAAATTCGATAAGAAAAATGAAATACACGTTTTTGTACATATTTGGGAATTTTGATAAAAAATATGCAAAATCCAAATTAATTTTCAATGGACTACATTTTCGTTTAGAAAATTATGTATTTTATCATTTCAGGGATTTAAAACAAGTAATTTAAATGTAAAAGGTAAAAGATCAAACACTTTTGATAATTTTATTCTAATAATTTAAACGAACTTGAGAATTTCAAGTTAAAATCAAATTTCAATTAGCAAATCTGTAAATTACTTTAATAATTGTATGAATGGGCCGTTAGTTCTAAGTCTTGTTGCATATTAAACCTAATTTATTTTCAATCCGTGTTGTCCTACATATAAGTGCTAGCTTGTAATTGATTTTCAGTTGTATACTGGATATTTTGATTCAATAGTAATGGAATAGTGACAGTTTCGATCAAATAACAATGTTTGTTCAGTGTTGGAAATATGTTATTTATCTTACATTATGTTATGTGGTTTTAACATATAAAAGTAAAAGGTTAAATGTGATTTATTTAACAGTAATTGACGGTTTTATTCTCCTGGTGTATGCCAGAATGACAGTATGATCAACAACCATAAGGATTACTTATATTTTTACCATAATAAGAAACACTATAACTAATTATACATACAATACGTCTACCGTCTTTTTGTTGGAATTTAAAAATAATAAATTAAATGTTAAATGATCACTTTATGTGATCGTGACGTTTCAGTTGATGATGTGTCCTCTGGGGCTGTCCTCAACTTTACCTACAACAATGAAAACATAATGACAATGACTTACAATTATGACTTACATGTACAAAAACATGTTTCCCATTTTTCAAAGTGAGCACTTCAAAGATGCAAGTGACGTCTGGCAACTTTTCAAGAGTTGAATATAATGCCAAGTGGGTCGGGATAGAAGAAAATTATAGTTCAGTGGGACAAATGGCTTACACATCGATAACAATGGCTACGTGCTTTTTCCAAGAATATTTAGCAGTACATTTTTTTTTTAAATTTACATTCATAATGTTTTAATATAAGTACACTAATGTTAGTATTATGAGTATAGGCTACGCTAGAGGAAGCGAGTTGGTCTAGTGGTAGAGCGTGGGGCTTCGTTGCCCGAGGTCCCAGGTTCAAATCCTACCAATGGATTATATCTATGTAATAATACCGCAACGATCTAGGACTAGCCTGAAGTAAAACAGTTCCAAGCTGTACCGTATTTATAGGCATGCACTGTGGATGCGATACTCCCTGGTGTAGATTAAATACAGCACGAGTGAGTACTACGACTATCCGCAGTACTATTCTGATAATTAGACCAATTCGTATATATATACCAAGGCAAATATGTGGTTCGAATTCCACTATAAACTTTAGGTCCCTTAGTTGTCATTAGCTGTATGTGCTATTAATTAACAGCTGTGTCTAAGGAATGTCGGCATTAGTCACTAACAAGACTACAAGATCACCCCGCTCATCCTACACTCATCTATTCATACTTGGCTTAAAATACCTACTTTGTATGGTCACCATTTAATTAGAAGGTATTAAAGAAAGTTTTAAAGTATTAAATAGCGTCCTTGGAAGTACGGATGGAACATTAAAATATATAAACAAGTTGTATGAGTTTCAAAGAAATTTAAAAGCAATTTGAATAAATTCAAAAGACTATCCTACAATACATTTGGGATAAGGTATCTGTTTTGTAGCTATAAACAAATACAATTAGGATGCAATTAAAATGTAATTGTTAGTAATTCAATTTTTGATACGTGGTTTTTCGAAGAGTTAAACACACATTTTCTAAAAACAAATAACAATGATTTATAAATACAACAACCTTGTATATAATCGTATTTGTATACTACACATTTATGAATACATCCGACCAATTCATACCAAAATCTTTTTACACATAACTTTTGGGGAGGCGACTGTGGTCGACCTTTACATAGACTTAATTCTGGATCTGAACCTCTGCAATTACCAATTCTATTTTAGCTGTTAATCCAAAAGCTTGAGAAATAACAAAATAGGGCTGATGTGCGGGGAAAAATAAATGTAACTAAAATTCATACCTTACATAAACAGAATATACATAGACACCCCAAGCTTATTAAAAATACGTTACGACCCTGGAAAACATCTTATTAGATTAAAACAAGTCCTTGCCTCTTTGTGTGTAGAGTTCTACGTCGTAAGGACGCAAGGGAAATCATTCTTGCTCACAAACATTTAATCCAATTCACTTTTACGTCTGTTAGTAAAATAAAAAGGACTGGAGGGCAGCACTCACTTCCAAACTGGCTGAGTAACACTTTTACTTAACTAAGCAAAGTATTTAATCTAAAAAATGTGTGTAGTTGAGGCAATGCGAGAACTTTAACACAATCAATGCAAAATCATAATTTTGTTTGTAATTCTATGAGTTTTATTGATAAAATTAAGTTCTTTAAATTCCTAAACAATAGTAAAATTATAAGGTTTTCAGTATTTATTATTTAATTTTCTTCATTTTATTAAACTGTATATACCAATTAGTAACACATTTTGCAACAGGATTCATAATTATTAATCAACAGCAAATTTTAACCTTGTGATTTAAATTATAACCAATTCTGTAATTTTGTAAAACTAACTAAATGTCTTAAACGATTTAACTGTGTATTTTGAAGTTATAAACAATAACTTGTTAAACAAGTTGTTACTTTTGTGTTTCGTTTTCAACACTCGACTTTCCTAGTTATGACATACTTCTGACATTTTACACCCTTAAAATTCTTCCACCCTGGACTGCAGCCCCTTCAACCCCCCCCCCCCCCTAAGTCCGCCACTGCATGCGCATTTGGGGCCTTTCATAATTATCAGATCTTCAGTTAAGAACTGTCACGTCACAAAACATTGATGGCCAGGCTTTGAGACTGGCCAATTTTGAAATTTTAAAAGCAAACCTATATTACCCGGAATAAACTTATGTTTAAGGTAAAAACTTGCTTATGGCAAATGCACAATTTAAATATACTGAGAACTAATAGCATAGGTCTTCACGTACCTGGATCATGACTGAGACTGCCTCTTATCGCTTGGCTTCATCCTCTGATGGGTTATAGGGCGGACAGGTACAGAGTTCATTTTAGGCCCTATAGCCCATTATGCTATTGTTCTTAGATTGTCTGTTTCCTGATTATTGTATGAAAACTAAACTAAGGCTCTTCTACCTTTTCCATAATATTAATTTTGATTTAATAAATAAACTTTTACTTTATAACAACACCTCCCCGCCAAAATAAAAAAGATTTCTTCACGTTACACAAAATGTATTTACACAAAAGTTTTTGGGAGGTTAGCTCTTCACCTTACATGTCCATTCTTGGGGGCACTCTGCGGCTTCTTTGAGAGCGCCGGAGGCTAGGTACCTCAGGTTCCATACTATTGTTCCTCTGTTGTGGTGATTGTCTTGGACTTACAAGTCTCGGTGATGAAATTGGTCTTGAAATGGTAGGAGAGCTATCATGGTCAGACGTTTTCTCAGGTGTCATTTGAAGTGTTACGACCTTTTGAGCTTTTTCATATAATTCCCTGGGAAATTGGATCACAATGTCGTCATCATCATCTTGGCCTGACGGGTTACTCCTCAAGTGGTCTGCATGAACAAACCGAATGCGGCCCTCTACTTTAACTAAGTAGGTTACCGGACTTATAACCTTGTTAATGATACCTGGCTGCCAATTTACCTTCTCGTTGCGTACAGTACGAACATACACTGCTGCTCCTACTTCAAAGGCACGAGCTTGGCCTCTGTACTTGTTGGCTTTTTTTACTAGGATTTCTTGTTTATCTTGCATTCGTTGAGGCAATGAGTGTGGCTTCAAGAGGCTAAGGTGAGTCTTAGGCTTGAATTTGTATATTGCTTCAGATGGTGATATACCTGTGGTAGAGTGAGGGGTGTTCCGGTAGGTAAACAAAAATGAATCAATCCGGTGTTGTAGAGAGCGGGTTGTGTTATGCTTGGTATCATGGAGCATCTGTTTGAGGAAGGCTTCCTTGACAGTTTGCACTGCTCGTTCGGCTAAGCCGTTTGATGCAGGGTGATAGGGCTTAAGAACTTCGTTCTTTATGTGCTTCTTCCAAATATAGGTGGACTTTTTCCATTCAGTAATAAATTAATATGGTTATCAATATTCCTGTGTAGTTTAAAGTATCAATTGCGTAAAGGAATTGGATAATATGAAAGCTAGGATGACATGAGATTTCTATATTTCCAGTGATTTTTTTAAACTGTAACGGATAATGGCAGGAATAAAAATAATCTTACATCGCCTGAATATCTTAATATGAGAAACGCATTAACAAACTTCCTGAGACAACATTGATAATGACTGAAACTTTGTTTGTTGGGATATGGTTTAGGTTTTGGAGACAAATGCTGTGTATTGTTCTTTTAGTATTATATATTTTAGGTTTCAGCAAACCTATACATTGTATTATATTAAATCATACATACAAATTATCACTACTTGTTATGGTAAATATGATATTTTACAAGTGATCCCCGTAGTTTTAAAAATTTTCCTAGACAGTTTTTTTCTCATAAAAAGAAAAAAACATAGGTAAATCAAACCTTTTTTTTATTGTTAAGTCATATGACTTGTGAACTGGATACGTATTGGGTAAGTTTGTTTGATTAAAAAAACAACTGTGTAAATCAAATTAATTTTAAAGAAAGTAATTCATAAGTATAATTCAAATATAACAAAATAGTTTATGCTGTTTGAAAACACTATTTTGTATTGCCGTATGACAAAACAATATTTTAAGTCAATGATATGCGTTGATACTGGTTTTGACGTTACTTTTTTTTAACAGTTATACATTAGATTACATAACACATTACCAAAATTGGACCACCACAATGAATCATATTCCAAAAAAATATTGTTTTGCTTTATATTTGACAATAATATATCTTTTTTCAACAAATAGCAGCCCACATTTTGTGTTTTATTTCATTTCATGCAAAGATCTTGGAGCTCATACATTGTGCAGTGCAAAGCCTATGTAATAAAATGTTTCCAGGTTGACGATACAACCCTCGTGAAATCCCAGATGTGTAAGACTCACACGTCTGAAATGTGACTCATCAAAATGAGAACACTTCCAGCCTGGAATCATTAAAACTAACTACAAAGTCGACACACGCTTTGAAAGACATTGACAAAGACAAACTCTCTATGCGTTTGGTTGAATAAAAAACGCATAATGATTTATATTACCGTCATTAAAATGTATTTAAACGGTTGTTTAGTTAATAATCCAGAAAAAAATTTGGATTTGTATAATCCCCTATAAATATAAATTATCCTTAAATTTACTAAAATAGCTCTTGATGAGAATACGAAGTAAGTGGTTACAACTAACTATGGGTCTTAATTCTCTTAGATAATTCCATAAACTTGAAAAAAAAACGCTTTGATTACTATAAAGCATAATATAGGAGCAAGATGGTGAAATGATAAAGCGGGGACTTCGGTACCTAAAGTCTCGGTACACACTTATCAATTGTTAAAAGCTTTTAATAATAAGATGTTGGATGATGAATCCTGTACAACTAACCTTATATAATGTGTAAATGGTTTCACGATATGGCTAAGTAACTTTAAAAGTAAAGCGATAGCTAAAAAAAAAAAACAACAAACGATATAACATAATCAATATTCTTGTATTGAAATTGTATTTTTTTACAAATACTGTACTCAAATTTTATTGGATTGAGAAAAAAAACTTCTTTCTTTTAAGCTACCGAGGAATTTATGTTTTAATAATTAGTAAGGACTGTACCCCACAATCACATTCAACATGGGGAGTAATCCATTTACACGATGCTATTGTAGGGGTTTTGCTGTAAACTGTCTCTATTAGCATCGATAAGTATTGCGTTTAATTTAAAACATATTTACTGCTCCATAAAAAATAGAAAACTTTTCCAAAACATTCAAAATCAAATCCTTAATAAGATGTCAATTGGAAATTCATAGAATGATTTTAAAACTGCCTGTAATATGATTTACTCTAAGTACGTATACACCAACGTCTATTGAGAATAACCTAGGCAACATTGGCATTCACACGCTTCAGTCAGCCATAGACTTGTTACACCAAACATTAAACTCCTCAGCAAAGATTGAACTTACTGTCATCAAGGTAGGTGGAAGGAAGAGCTCATTACATCCTTTGTTGGGAAGACTCCCAATAAACTCCACCACTCCACCATTATTTTCTCTCGTGACAAGACCTTATTGCATTCCTTTCTGAATATTTTACTTTTAAATGTCAATAAATGCATTATACACATGCAACCTATTATATTTTCTTTCGCAAATCTTCATTAAGAAAATAAATAACAATTTTTTAAACTACAGTAATTAGTTGCGTTAATTATACTGTAGTGTAAATCTGTGACATAAGTAAAAAATAAAGTAAGAAGTTATCTGGAAGTTTTCATTTTGGTATAGGATCGGTCCTTAATAATGAATTCCAATCACAAATTTATAAAACAACTTTGAGGTAAATTTATCATATAGGTTACATTTAGTATATCTGAACTACAATTGAAAACATCTATAGGTAAACAATTATGTAAATGAAAGTGACTGTAAGTAGACAATGTATTCAACAAAAACGGAGCAAATAGAAAACATAATAAGATACAACAGGTATTATACTGGAACAAAGAAGCTATTTGCCTCGCTGCAGGAAGGCGTAAACTGATTTTGAAGATCATCCACGACCGACTTCAAGTTTTGTTTACCAAGCAAATGATCTCTTTTTTGCTCTTGTTTTATACTTTTTTTATTGTATGAAAATATGTTTATACCTTATTAAAAAGGCTAACACAATTTTATTTTAATTTGGTTTATAAGATAAATAACTACTGTAAATTTTTCATAGCTTAAATGTTGGTTTCAATTTTCAAAAATGCAAATAATATAAATAATGCAGATTAACTACTAAACTTACAAGAAGAAAATATCAGAAAGCAAATAGTGAACTTTAAAACTAACTTTGTACTAACTAACTAGATTGTTGTTTTTGGATAAATATCAAATGAGTGTAGCTTTTATTTGGATTAACAAAATTTATCAACAAATGAAATCTTATAATCGCCTTATAGTTGTAAATAATAATTAAGTTAGAATTTTGAATTTTAAAAAGTTTTGAATAAAATAGAACGTTGAAAAAGTCTTTTTACTTCTTCTAAAACTAAAGAGTATGTAGGCCTACTAACACCTAGAATACCTGTCTTAAGAAAATGCACACGAAATAATATCATTTAATATGAATTTATGTAGCCGATTTGCAGATATACTGTATACACAATGTAGGAGCTTTGGCTAAGCCTTGGTCTTTGTTATTTCTCTAGATAAATATCTTTGTTCCTAGGTAGAAATCAATCACACATTTTATTGAAATATTTATGTGTAGGGATAAAATTATCGTTACACAGAAACATAACAGTATGCATATGAATGTTTATGTATATTTATTCGCAACATTAATTTTTTTCATACAAGAATATACGACAGTTTCTTAACGAATTTTTCATTTACCTACTGTTGCAGATTATACAAATTTATTTAGAAATGTTTAATTCAAACGCTTTTTTTATGAAATAAAAGATATATTTGTGGAAAGTTATTTATTTATACGAAAATAAAAATAAAGTATTGTTGTTGTAATATTACTGATTTGGTGATTCCTTTAATAACATTTCCCATTAAATTTACTATGAAGAATTTAATTTTGAAAATTCACACTTAAATCAAGACGCAACATATATATTTTTCCAACTTAATATAAGACTTGCTATCGTAATAGGTTTTTCGAACGTAATATATATAAGCCATATCCTTTTAATATTTTTCACCCCTGAGACGCATACGTTTTTCTAGGCATTAAAACAAATTACTTTACTTGATTAGGTCATAGTGCAATCAAAGACCATATTCCCATTAGTGTTTGGTTTAATTTATAAACAACTCCCCTTCGTAAATACAATATAAAGTATTCAAGGAAAAATAACGATTTTACTACTACCGAAAAAGGTCATATTTTGCAACAGCAGCTTATCCTTTGATTTCCTAGCCATGCTTTGCTTACAATTTATTAAATATCCACACAAATAAATACATTTTCATAAAAATTAAACATTTATTAGTTTGCTACAAAATTTCAAGTATGCTTATTTGATAATACATATTAAACAAATAACTGGCTTCAAGGATTAAAATTGAAGTAAATAATTACATTGGTAAAGAGTATTTAAGTTATGGATTGCATCATAACCAAAATTATACAGAAATGCAAAATCTGTACGTATATAGATGAAACACTGCTATAGTAAAATTTCTTGCATATTGTTTAAGTGAATGCCAATTGTGTGTGTGTGTGTGTTTTTTTTTTATATCATAATCAATACCTACTGTACCTATATACCTGAAACCTTATTAGTCCCTACTGTATGTAGTTAAAAATACTAAGGTTTATTATCAATACCACAGGATCATTTAACATAAAAAAATCCCCAAGTAGGCGAAGCCTGTACATGGTGATGAGTTAACATAAGTCATTTGCATATCGTTAGAGCCCAAAAGTTATCTCTTGATCAGTGACCTCACGAGGGGAGCAAAACTGAAAAATATCACTGAAGAGCAACAAAAGGTAACTTAAATATTAAATAAACATACAATGTAGTAAACCTGCCACCAATCGAATCAATTTTCTGATTATATTTTTACCAAAACATTTCCTGAAATAAATCAGATTTATTCCCTATTTAAGTAACCTT